GCATTGATGACATCGTGGAGGCGGGAGGTACACTCCAGAACCACGTTTGCATGAGCCTGCATGCTGTTGGGAGTCATGGAGGGGTTGAACAGCTTTCGAACGGAAGCATGGTAAACCGGGTCGCTGGCCGTAAAAATGTTGCGGCGAGAGATGCCCTTGTAGAAGCTGGTCTTGAGGAAGGTGCTGCCTTTGCCAGACCCGGCGCCGTAGATGTTGCGAAGACCTTTGATGGTGTTGGTGGTGGCTTGTCCTGGGGCGAACCTGACAATTTTTCCTGCTCAAGTTAGTAGCTCTCAGAGTGCACCGGCCAAGATGAACATACCGTATGAGACATGGAGGGAGTTGAAGTAGTGTGCACTCCGTCCAGTGACAAAGTTGAGCTTGGTAGCAATCTGTATGTTGTTAGAGGAAGAGGTAGGTCAAGTAAAGATAGGCTACCTACACCACAGCAGAAAAGATCGAGGAAGGAGCCCGGAACACCCTTGATAGTAGGACCCTTGGGAAGATATTTGATCAAAAGAATGAAAATCCAAGGGACCTGACAATTAGCCAACACTCTATCACCAGGTTACTGCAGGACATACAATGACAACCGCCATGACCGGCAGGGACAGGTTGCTAGGGTTAATCTCGGACATTTGGCCCGAAGGCAAGGCCATCGCAAACACCATTTTGACGAGTAAAACGAGAGAGTGAAAGTTGGATCTGGTCAAACAGCAGCAGCAGGAGAGTTCAGACTTGGCCTATTTATGATCTGGCCGACCATCGCCATATGGAGGATGAAGACAATTGTTCGTTGGGATCCGCTCTGGTTCTCCTTTCTCCATCTTCCTTTTCCATCCTCCAGTCTCCAATGCTGGGACCGGCATGCAGGACAACAGGGGTCTGTCGATGGATGGTTGGGAACTCCGCCAGTGTTTTCTCGTTCACCTAATTTAACCTTGTCGGAACAGGTTCCATTCGCGGTAATTTCCCGGGAAGTCGCCGTTACCTGAGGATGATCTGAGGCTTGATTGAACCAGGTGATCCTGTTGGAGGGTGTGGCCCTCCATGTTGATCCTGATGCGGCGTGGAACCATGGATGGACGGGGATGGTCTGATGGGTTTAGGGTTGGAGCTAAACCCCCAGATTTGTGGTCGCGTTGCTTGAAACTCCGCCGGCGTCCTTCTCAATTTCCTCAATTTTGGGTGAATTCACAACTCCTCCGCCAAGCACCTCCTATCTCAATTAACCACAAACAATGCGGAGTCAGCACGTATCACAAGAACACGAGTTTAAAAGGGTCCTTGTCGCGGACCTGGAATGTGCTTAAGTAGTGTCATGGTCCATCTGTTTCACTGCGGTTTCGTCCAACAATCCGCCTCTTGTCATTCGTTCACCCTCTTTTCGAAGCTTCTCTCAATCATTGAACCTTGAATCTTTCATTTCTTATAATTGACTGCTCAACCAGCGGGGCTGGCTTTGAGCATACTTACTTTTTCTATCATGTCCAAACAACCTACCAAAGTCCTCTTTCTGGCCAACAGTGAACATGGTCAAACGAACATCATCCTGGCAATCACGCACGAGCTCCTCGTCCAAGGAGACGTTGAAGTCCATATTGGCTCATTCCCGGTCCTTGAGCGCCGGGTGGAGAAACTTCTGGCAGACAACGCACCTGCTTATGACGAGTCCTTCCGGTCGCGTATTCATTTCTACCCTGTAAGGGGTCCTTCCAACACCGATGTCTTCATCCGCACAGGCAAGCGTGGTGCCTTTCACCCCCCGGGTTACCATGGTGCTGTCCTTGGCTTCCAGTCTCTGTGTGAAGACATCTGGGGTTGGACGGAGGAGGAATATGTTGACATCTATGAGAGTTGCGTCGAGATCATCCAGGAGGTCAAGCCATCGACGATTGCAATTGACTTCTTCTTCCTTCAAGGCAGAGATGCTGCCTACAACACGGGCCATACGGCCATTTTAATTAACACAACCTCCCTGAGTCACATTGTGCTTGGAATGCAACCCAACTCGGCCGCTCTATGGAAATACCCTCTGTGAGTATCTTCCCTCTGTATGGTTAGTCAATTGCTGATATAATAGACCTGGAACTGGCTTTCCATACCCCGTCCCCTGGCATCTCATCCCGCTCAACATCATGGCTGTTCTCAAGACGGCCAAGATGTACCATGGCAGTGGACGACGTCGGGAGATTCGTGAATGGCGCATTAAGCACAAGATTCACGGTCGCTTTCCGTTTGCTGATGCCTGGCGTCCGGATAGATACCACATCTCCCCAGGCCTGAAAGAGCTGGATTGGCCATTCAGCAAGATGCCTGAGAATATCCTCCCGGCTGGGCCAATCCTGCTTCCCACCGCTTCGGTCGAGAAGCAGGATCCTCAGATGCACAAGTGGCTGAAGCAGGCCCCAACTATCCTCGTCAATCTCGGAACCTTGTATGCACCTGATCCCAAAGTTGCTGAGGAGATTGCAACTGGCTTAAAGGGATTTCTCAATGCTTGGAAGGGCGAGAAAGTGCAGATCCTGTGGAAGTTGCCCAAGCATCCACATGATGAAGATGACATTTACAGCCGCTCCATCGAGCCTCTCAAAAAGGAGACCGACGAGGGAAGCGTGCTGATCCGCCCGTGGTTCGAGGTGGAGCCTATGGCCATGTTGCAAACGGGCCAGATTGTCTGCTCCGTTCACCACGGCGGTGCCAACTCGTGGTACGAAGCTATTCAGTAAGTTGCCCCTCAGATTCGTGTCATCGGATGTATCGTAACTTTCTCAGAAATGGTGTTCCCCACATCGTCCTTCCAGCATGGCAAGACTGCTATGAGAACGCTGCTCGGGCGGAATGGCTAGGCATTGGAGTCTACGGCAACAAGAGCCGTGCTCCCAACATCAGCGCTAAAGAATTGAGCAAAGGACTGCTGAAGGTGATGAGCAAACGCTCTTACAAGGAGAAAGCAACAGAAATTGCCAAGCTCTGCAAGAAAGAGGGTCGCGTCGCTGCTGCAGAAAAGATTGCAGAGTTGGCACGTAACCCCGAGAAAGCGACAGCAATCCACATTCCTGAAGCCGACCCAGAGAATCAGCCACGATTGTACGAGATCAAGAATCGTGCAGGCCAGACCCTCCAAACTGTGCAGATGCCTAAGACCGAGGGCAAAGGCGCATCCAAGTAAGTCCCCTTCCTTCCCTTATCCCACCCCCGCAACGCTATAAGATTCCATCTAACCAACCAACAGACCCTTCCTGACCGACATGGCCGAATCCATCCTCATGATCCTCCTCTGCACCACCTGGTTCCACCTCCCTCTACTGGGCTACTCTTTCCTCCTGATTCCCCGTCTCCGCCTGGTCGTCCTCCTCTACATCCTCTACATCAAATTCATCTCCAAGGCCCACAAATCCGGCACCTTGCCCTACCGCAACGAAGCGTTCCGAACATCCTTCATCTGGAAGGCCTTCGCCTCTTACTTCCCTCTCACTCTTTACCGCTCCGCTCCTCTATCCCCAAGAAGAAAATACATCTTCGGCTACCACCCGCACGGCATTGCCCTGCGCGGGGCATTTGGCTCCTTCGCCGCTGACAGCGTCGGCTTTTCCTCCCTCTTCCCAGGACTAACCAACACTCTGCTCGTCAAAGACGGCTTCTTCTACCAACCCCTCCTGCGCGAATACCTCCTCGCGACGGGGGCAAGCGGCGTCTCCCGCACCTCATGCATCAAGCACCTCACTCGCGGTGGACATGACGAGCGAGGCATGGGCCGGTCCATCACCATCACTGTTGGCGGGAGTCGTGAGTATAACATCGCCAAGCCGGGCACCATGGGGATTGCGATCAAGATTCGCAAGGGCTTTGTCCGCGTCGCGGTCGAGACAGGAGCGGACTTAGTCCCTGTTATTGCGTTCGGAGAGAACGAGCTGTTTGATTTGATTGATACAAAGTCGTCCTCGGCACTGGGGTTGGTGGCGAGAGCGTGGGAGTTTGCGGTCGGTCACAAGGTTGCGTTTTCGAAGGGCAGGTTTGGGTTGTTTTGTCCGCATAGGAAGCCACTCAATGTTGTTGTCGGCAAGCCGATTGAGGTTGTGCAGCAGAGGTGGGATATGGATGAGAAGTATGTTGATAAGTTGCATGAGACGTACGTGCAGGAGTTGACGAAGTTGTGGGATGATTGGAAGGAGACGTTTGGAGTGGAGAGGGATGTGAAGTTTGAGATTGTGGAGTGAGCCTTTGTCTCACTCTACTATTCATCTTCTTTGTCGATCTTTGCGGCGGCTGGCTGGTCGGCATTGGGTTTTGTAACTTCTAATGTATATCGGTCTGATATCTTGTTGATACCTTGCATAATAGGCAGATTGAACACTTAATGCTTGCAAAGAAGATACCTCATCCTGCTCGACTTCTTCTCAACAATTTCTGTCGCTCACATAACCCACCTAACAACTCTAAGACACTAGATAATTAGATCCTAGGCTACTCACTTTAGGAATAAGTGCACCCTGAAGTACGAACGCATAGTAGAAAGCTGTGGTGATGGTGGTTGTTAGTAATAGTGGTGGAGCTGGGGCTCACCTCGGCCCGACCCTAAAGAAGCATAGCAGGCTCGACAACCGTGGTGTTCATCCTTTAAAGTTACCTTCTCTTTTGATAGGTATTGACGTCATCTACTCTGATCAGATTTCTCGTATGCCGTGGAGTTGCATAGTCTCTGCATTACTCTCAATGCCAATGTGCATCGTAGAGGGTTCCACTTCGCATATGATCCGTATAGGACCAAGTCTCGGGCGTCCAATTTAACAGCGGGGTATGCAAACTGAATCCGACACCTCCAGGACTACCAATTGGCTAACTGGCCAGAAAGTCCTACCTGTTTAGACCGAAGGCTATCCAAGCTCAAGGTGGGGTTTAATGAATGTTATCCAACTCATAAATGAAAGACCCGGGAAACTGACCGAGGCTAAATAATTCCATCGTATCGTTCCAGCTGCGCTCTGCTTTATAACATCATGGCCGGACAGCAACTCACCTGGCTTGTTACTGGCTGCTCCTCTGGCCTGGGGGAGGCTTTAGTGCGGACTATTCTTGATAAGATACGTTTCTCTCTCCTTGAAAACATCACCAAAAATCGAGATATATGAGCTAAACATTATCAACAGGGCGATAAAGTCGTAGCCACAGCCCGCGGCAGCAAAGGCGTCAGCGGTACCGACCGTCCCTCCTCCCTCAAAGATGCTGGTGCAGCAGTCCACGAACTTGATATGGCATCTCCGGAGGAAGCGATCAAGAAACAAGCCCAAGACATCTGGGACAAGTACGGACCGATAGACGTTCTAGTCAACAACGCGGGATACATTGACATATCTACCTTCGAAGAAATGACGTATGTCCCTACACTCTTGGGTTTATGACTATCTTCACTGAAAAAATTATAGAGACGACTTCCTCCTCAACTCCATCCGCATCAACGCCCTCGGCCCCTTCACCCTCACCACCCACCCGCGCGCTCCTCCCTCACATGCGTGCTCGCAAGTCCGGAACCATCCTCTTCTCCAGCTCCGTGGGCACCTACCACGCCACTCCCTGTGCGGGGACCTACGTAGGCCCCAAGGGGATGATCGAGGGTATGGTGCCGGTTCTGGCGACGGAAGTGGCGCCGTTCAATATCCGAGTGTCGATTCTGACGTACGGGCATTTTCGCACGCAGGTCATGGCACCCGGGGTGATTCAGTACCGGAATCCGAATCGCTTGTCGGAGTATGAAGATGAATCAGCGAGCGTATGATGGTTGTTTGGAGTGGAGTGGCAATCAGCCGGGAGATCCGAGGAAGGGTGCTGAGTTAGTGGTTGAGGCTGTTAAGGGGGAGGGGAGGTGTAAGGGGATGGAGTTGCCGTTGAGGTTGCCGTTGGGGTCGGATACGTTTGGTATTGTGAGGAATACTTGTCAGGACTTGATGAGGGTTTGGGACCAGTGGTATGGGGTTACGTCGAGGACGGATTTTGAGTAGGATGTTTATGGATTCTAGGATAGTAGGTGGAGTGGTGGAGAAGGGTCACTTAATTGGTTGGAGGGATGATGGACTATAACCCGATGGCTATGCGACTCTTATGTACCTAATAATATGGCGATGTTAATGAGGTTGTGGATCTGTGCTCAAAACTGAAGTTGAGATAACAGATAAGTAAGAAGCGTCGAACTAAAGGCCGGATGTGACTTCATGGATACTATAATTCAACCCAGCAAGTCAAGTGAGAGCCGCAAGCATTGCCTAGTCAGGGTATACTGATCATCTTAGTGAGAAAAACGAAGGGAAGCCTCGAAGTTGTCCCGCCTATATATACCTCCTATTTCCTTCTTCTTTTCCCTCCCCTCTTCGTCTCCTGAACACCAGGTCTCCCCCTCTCCTTTTGCCACCGACCTCTACCATACCTGATTCATTTACGCAACTACAGAAACATCCTCCTCAACCCACGCAAGAACATAACTCACTACAAAAACAATGCCTTCCGAAGCCGCAAATAAATGGCCCAAAGCAATTCGCCAAAAGGCAGCCAAGAAAGCTCAGGATGCCAGGCGAGCCAAACATGAAGCTATGAAGAAGAGAATGGAACACGCACGACGGCATAGAACTAAACCCGACCCTTGCAATGGTTTATCTAAGTGTCAACCGGAGAATTATAATGCAAATGCTGTGTCTACCTCTTAGATCCCCGCTGATACCATCCCAGCTTGGTTCGAAGACTTCATGATAGATCTTCGCCAAATGGACATGTTCTCAGAGGCTTGTAAAGCTAGTTTATTCGACGAGGTCTCCAATCGCTCTGCTGATTACTATCGTCTGGCAATTATGCTAGCAGCTACCTTGGAGGAAGAAGCGATAAAGTTGAAGAGAAGGTTTTCTCGCGAAATTGAGCTTCGTAGTGATGATATTGGAGACCACTATGATAAGGGTTGGGACTTGTGGATTCTATCTGCCGAGGAAAAGGATGAAGTCATTTGTCAATTGGCTATGGAGTGGGGCGCATTGCCTATGGCGGTGGCTGACGTTTATCCTGATAAGTACCTGCCAGTCTGGGAACTGCTGGTAAAGAAGGAACAAGACTGGAATGTTGTTGTGAACTGGATAAACAGTGCTGTTCTGGAGAGGTGCGGAAGACAGGCATCGAAAGGAAAGTGTGTTCCCCGAGTTCTGGGATGTGATCATCTCAAGGCATTGATTACGCAGTCGCCAGTGGAGCCTGTCTCTAATAAAAACTATCAATTATCAACGGCAAGTTCAACCGGCTTAGACTCATTACGCTTGCAACCACCAGTAATGAAAAGGGAAAACAGCGCGGCAAAGATGACGATGAATTATCCGATTAGACACATATCCTGGTACGACGCTAACACCTTGAGTTATCGGCTGGTAGAGAATGATTTAACAATATATGGGGCTGATGGTTTGTCTTAGCTGGCTTCATGTTTACATAGTCCTTCATCATTCTTCAGCTCCGTGCCAGGCTCCGTTTAAACTAGAGCTGTGGCACCAGTCATATGGCTGCAATCTGTTTGTATCATATTAATATAAATACACACCGAATGTCCTTGCAACTAAATAAAATTACATGTAGGAAGCGTAAAAATGTCTTTGTGTAGTCTTTTCATAATCCAACTCAAGACCTGTAGGTTTGCCCACCCAGATTGTACATAGAACGGTTATTTGAACTATATCCTAGAGCATGGGAGACTAATGTGTGGCAGTAGAACCATTCGTGTTTACCTCTCATATTCCTACGGGACATTTCATATATGATGGAGGCTGTTTCTTGGACAGATACCCATTGACGATCCTTGCACGATCTGGATTTGAGGACTAGTTATAGTCATCGCCAGGGCTTTCCATCCATAATATCAGCATTATGGGATATTGGTGGCAATCTATAATACGTATACTTGAGGATGGCTGGCAGCCCTCTTTTGTGATCCCAGCTTCATCTGCTCATAAATCGTTCTATACGCTACTGGCTGAACCTACTGCTCTCAGATACATCGGAGCAATTGTATTCGTCATTGACGGGAGATTGCCCATCATAGCTCCCGAAGCCTTTAGCATACGGATTTATTTAATTATCATCTCTGATTATTTGCATGGTAGAAGTGCAAAACATCTCACCTCTACCTAATATTCGCAGTTGATTGAGATATATTCTATCCGCCACGTCCTCTTGTGGATAAGAGTTTAGTTGACCGCACTATTTTGATCATATAACTGACAAGAACAGTCAAGTCAAGCCAGTTCACGCAGTTACCTCCCTCCTCCAAATCTTCATCGGCATCGGCCCCGAACCAAGATTGGTCGTCTCATGCCTCTCCGGCTCCCAACCCGGATACGGCAAAGCAAATTCGAAGCGATGCACTAGCGAAGCAACCAATATAGTCTGCTCAAGGTAGCTAATATTGCGACCAATACATCCCCTAGCACCAGTACTGAACGGGATAAAATACGGCTGTAACTCCTTCCCCTTCTCTCCAAGCCACCTCTCCGGACGAAAGGCCTCAGGATCCGGAAAGATGGACTCATTGCGATGGACCACGTATGCCGACATCCCGACCGAGGTGTTACCCGCGATGTGGTCCGATAGAATCATGGTACCCTCAGGAGGAGTACGTCGCGGAAGCGCAAACGACACAGGCGGAAACAGTCTGAGACTTTCGTCCAAACAGGCTCGAAGGTAGGGGAGATGCTTGACTTTGTCGTAGGGTGCGACGATCTCGTCGTCGTCTATGACACCGTCAACCTCTTGCCGCAATTTCTCCAGACAACCTGGGTTATTCAGGAGAAGAAGCATAACATTGCTCAGCGAGATCCCAGTTGTATCAGACCCGGCATTCATCATGATACTGATTTCTGCGACGATCCCTCCCCATTCCAAATTGTGAGGGACATTAGATTTATCTTCCATTAGCGCAGAGAAGAAATCATCGAGCTGTTCACCATTCTGGTAACGCTTCCATCGTGTCGTGGCACGGTTATAGACGATGCCGTCCCAGTCTTTGTTGAGTTTCCATTTCTGGTTATATGTCGGAGACAGGATTTTGCTTGCTCGCACCAGGGTCTTGTACCAGTCGTAGCACCAGACTAGAGTAGCTGTAGCTGAACCTGTGGCGAAGAGACAGTCTCGGAAGTGTACCCGCTTTGTCTTGCCGTCCATGGACTCTGATTTGATTAGATCATTCCCCTGGTCGAGGAATTTGATGTCCTCGCTTAGACCGATGTTAGCGATAGCAGCTATGGTGAACAGGTTGGTCCACATGCGATAGTCAATTGTTAGGTCTTTCTCGAGTGGACGATGGTCATTTGGTAATGGATCCGTGCATCGTGCATCAAACGCTTTGATCAGACGGTGCGTCATGTCGGCAATCTTGTACTCCCAGGCTTCCAGGTTCTTGAGCGCGTATGCGCTCGATAGAACCTTCCGCTTTCGTGCATGTTCGCCCTTGTCGACGACATCAGCGAGGTGGAAATGTGACCCAGCGAGGGTGGAGTAAAAGTTGTCTTTTGTGCAGGTTGTCCCGTGGCCGTAGATATCTTTGATGGCCTCTGGGTCTGCATAGGAGAGATAGTTGGGTCCGATGCGGACGACGGGGTGGGTTTTGTGTGCTTCTAGGAGTCGCTTGTAGCGGATGCCTTTATGCGAATAATAAACGAGAGGTAAGTCTGATATTCCGGACCATAATGTAAGGTTGGGGTATTTGCGAAAGCCTTTAAGGTCGCTGAAGTAATTGATGATGGGGAGGATGAAGTAGTAGATGACGAGAAGGGCGAGTAGAAGGAGGATTAAGGGGATGTACATCTTCAATAACAATAACAATCGTGAATTGCACTACAATATAATCAAGTCATCTCCAATGACGGCATGATTGAGCCAGCTTATATATCCTTCTAGCTATGAATGCTGGCTACTGATGCTGCAGTGATGTAGTAGTATACTGCAACGATCGAAATGGAAGCGCTCGCCGAACACACCTCATAACGGTTAGTGCCGGCGAGATGGCGCCAAAGCGGTGGCATGCAGCAACCAGTTGGCGATGCGTCGCAGCGAGCCGACCCTAGAGCACCTCTGCAAGACTTCGTAGTTCTGGAATCCCCCTGAGCAAACTGGACTCTAGCTAGATGTGATCTCGGGTATGAACATACTTGTACTGTAGGTGGGTCATGCTTGCTCCCATCTTGCGGTCATTGGCCCCCTTGCTGTAGGAGACGCTCCACAGCCACGGCAATATTATTGCGGATTTTTAGAGAGCCTTGTATGTGGCAATATCCTCTATCCAGCAGGAAATGTAACTGTCCAGTTGTACAGCCTCCCTTTCGCTATACGAAGGCTTCAAGAGCCATACAGTATGCAGCAGTTTGAACCGATCTACGGAAGAGGGTCTCTACCCCGCAATTCCAGGATCGTCTAGAGCGAAGTCTAACAGTCGTGTAGAAAATCCCGGCAATTGAAGTCTCCCTGGATTATCTCACAACAGGAAAGAGGAATGAAGCTCAAAGTCGGTAAGAAGCATGGTGTTGAACCCCGCATAGAAAGCAAGCAGCCCATGCGGGGTGGAACTGCTGACCGATGGGGTAACCCTCGGCGAATCCCTCCCGTTTCGACAGGATGTCTATTCTTTGTTCGACTTGCCCTCATACACTCCACCACTCCTGATACTGATGCCTACAAGGCGCGATCCATGGTATGTCTACCTTTTATATCATTTTTGAATGTTAGTGAACTGACTCGTAGTAGCCAGCATTGCCGAAGTATGTTCTATCCCAATGACTTTCTCTACCACCGACGCTTGTAAATATATATCTTGATCATGTACTACAGGACATCATTTGAAATGTAAATTCAGACCCTCCCCCACCAAGTACAAACACACAGCTAAAACAGCCACTACCAGGTGACGACAACCGCCCAGCATGCACCAGATGTCGAACCTCTGGACGAAAATGCATTCGCTCGCGGCCCAAGCTGAGATTCCTCAACAGCACGAGCGCTGAATACGAGCATGCCACGGGAGCACCAAAGCAGCGCAGTCCAACCACATCAGGTGTGTTGATACCCTGCAATTTCGGAAGTATACTGAGACCAAGTACGCAGATGTATCGCTCGAGTATGTCGACGAGACACCCGCCGTGGCAGCTCTATACCAGCATGAGCCTTCACACCCATCAGCATCCACACCACAGCCCATTACCAGCCCTACACCAACACTTGTCCCATGGACTACATCACCCCAGAAAGCTTTGCGTGAGGCTACGACTCCATCTATCCAAGCTCCACAAGCCCACCTCACCCTAGAAGAAGCCTGTCTACTGCGCTACTTCTCCGAAACCCTAGGTAAATGGGTACATATCCCCAACCCCAACCCCATTCCCATCCACACACTCCACCTCAACTCATTTGACATAAAAACAGTTCGATATCGGCGACCCCTCCCAAAGCTTCACCACCATTGTCCCCCAACGCGCACGAACCAGCCCACCTCTCCTCGACGCCGTCATCTCCACCTCAGCCCGCCACTTCAGCACTCTTTCACAGGACCAACAACTACAAATCACCCGTCGATACGGCCTCCCTCACGGCCTGACTATTGATGAACCCTCCACCCTGCACTACCATAACCGATGCATCGCGCATCTCCGCTCCGTGAGCACCGAGCCGAATGCTATTCTGGATGAGAATCTCCTTGCCGCGGTGGTGACGTTGAGGTTTTATGAGGAACTGGATAGTATGTATCATCTCACTCTGATAGAATGAAGGAAGGGTGTTTACTCATAAGATGTATGGTATAGCGCCCTTCCATCCCCATCCCACCACCACCGCTATCCGTGGCTTGCAAGTGTTTCTTGAAGCGCAGGCCCGGCCGACGCTTAGTCTTACGGGTGATCGTTCTACTTCTTGGGGTTTGCGGCAGAGCGCGTTCTGGGTAGGCGTGCGCCAGGAATTCCATATGGCGTTTACGCAGCAGCGGCCTTTCCGTATTCCGCTGGATATATTGGATTTGTATCCTGCTCCGCGGGCTACGTCGGGGGATCATGAGTGGGTGAATGCGTTGTTGGTATTAGCTGCGCATGTGATTCACTTTTGTTTTGATGAGAGGGCGGCGAGGAGTGTGAGTGCTTATAAGGGGTTGGTAGAGAGGAAGGATGAGTGGGTGAGGATGTGTCCGGGGTCTTTTGAGGCGGTTTATTCCGATGATGGTGGTGATGGTGGGGGATTCCCATATAGGTGGTATTTGGATGGATGTCATATGGTGGCGGCGCAGAGTTTGGGGTTTATTCGTATCCTGTTGGCGATGTATAATCCTTTGTTGTTGGGGGTAAAGGTTGGGAGGAGTTTGATGATGGTGGAGATGGAGAAGGAGGTCAAGGAGGCTGTGTGGGAGATTTGTGGAGTGGCGGTGTCGAATCGGCAGTCGCATGCTGGGATGGTGATTGCGTCGTTTGCGGTGGTGCTGTGTGCGGAGTGGTTTGATGATGAGGGAGAGAGGGAGAGGTTGAGGGTGTTTGTGAGGGAGATGAGAAGGGACTGTTATTATTGGCCGGGGGTGGAGATGGAGAGGAGATTGGAGAGGGTGTGGAGTAGTCGGGGGGGATAGATTGCTAGGTATGCGCTTGATGAGTAGTGAGAACTAGCTTCAGAATGGAAGTATGTTGTTAAAAGCCATGTTGTTGACCGTATAGGAGTATATATGTGTAAGTGGTATGTATCTCCAATCCATCATCCGGAACAATCAGCTCAAGGAATGAACAAGAAGTTAGGTAAATAATCACAAATCAAACAAACAACTGAAAAGCATCCTATATACCAGAAAGGAAAAAGACCAGGATATAATACAACGCCATTCAACACCGCACCATGGCGCAAAGACACAACAGTCAGGTCAGGTCCGGTCCATCAATCAATAAGTCAGAATCAAGGTGGTAATGCGTAATCGTCAATCGTACATGCAGTGGGTTATCGCGATGCTTGCTTGCTGGGGGGGAATTCGCTTTTAGGGAGAGGTAGAAAGTAGGCAACGAGTCGAGGATGGGCGCGATAAGGAGTGTAAGGATAACAATAGAAAACGTCGGAGAAATAAGGAAGATAGGGATGCGACTAATAATGCGACGATTCATTTTCGGAGTCTGTGCAACGAGCGATTCGTTAGTCTCACATCTAAGATAATCGAATCTTCCGATTGCAAGGGTTGACGGGTAAACGTACAGCCTGACTCTACATCCCTCGCTGCCGCGGCGGGCATCTTCCCGGGCATACTCATCGACTCGCGTTGAAAGATACCCAGATTCTTCAGGCGGATAGTCCGCATGTAGGACTGTTGCTCGGCGGGATAGTTGTAGCGTTGTTGGGGGGCCTCGGGCCAGAATTGTTTCGTGAGTGCGGCGCCCAGTGAGACGAGGGCGAGACACACGACGATAACAATGACGATGATGGCCGAATCACTGAGCTTGGTCATGATGAAGCGACTTGTGTGGTATATACACAGACTTTAGACAGATATCGATATAATTTCGATGTTTGTTAACGAATATAATAGATGGTGGCGTTCAACGATCGCAAATTGTCGTGGTCTGTGCTGGATGCTAGCTGCGGATGTGGATGTATTTGATGTATGGAGTTGTGAAGAGTGTATGTGTTGTAATGTTGTGTATGAAGCGGATAAGCGGATCCGAGTTAACGCATCACTTTGTTTGGAGGCGGGGAATCGGACGGGGAAGAGAGCAAGGAGATAATGTTGAGAGTGTAAATAGACGGTCGGCAGAAGAGAAGAGGAGAAGAGAAGAAGAAGAAGAGAAACAGGAGGGATGGATGAGACACGCTGGGATGGAGGAGTTCGGAATAAGAATGCTGATAAGCCCGCAGCGATGAAAAATTCAAGCCGGTTTTGGCTCCACTGTTTATTTATAATTGGGTCAAGTGGTTCAGCTGGTTGGATGATTACTGCTGCTGCTGACTGGGTTGGTTTGCTGGTTGCCCACGCGGCCACTGCCAGTGCCAGTATTGTGTATGTTGTGTATGCCTGTATGGTAACTAAAAAGGTACAGGGCTTCCTGGAATTACGCCAGCAGCATCCTCCCAAAAGCCTGGCAGAGTAGCCCCATTGGCTGCGGGTGTGTCTGGAGAGTATATGATTGGCAGCTGATGGGACAAGAGTGGGTCTGATGATGAAAGACCAAAACCACCAAAACCACCCAAAACACCAAAAACCACCAATGACTAAGGAATTGGGTGGTGAGTGCCAGGATGTGGTCGGTAAGATTCGCATTGTTGGACAGATACGCCGATACGCCGATCACGAGAGAGGGAAAGAATGAAAGCACCCGCGTCGTGACTCTCTTCTCGCTTCTCTCTTCTCGCTTCTCTCTTCTCGCAACCAGGCAGCATACTTTTACTCTTCTACTCCGCACTTCATACTTCACACACACTATCTGGTGTACCGGATATATCCTTTCATCCTCATGATTGTGCCTAGTCTTCGCTACCAGTCATTGTTCTGCTTACCTGGTGGGCTCCTCACCTGGTCTCGACGGGTCTACTGGCCAACGCGGTTCCGCCGTTCCCGAAAGCTTGAATGAGCGGATCGGTGCCTGGCAACTATTGCCCTTGCCTCATTGGAGGCGCATCATGCGCAAGTCGGAGGAGTGCCCACCATCTGCTTAAAGTAAGTAATTGAGTGACAGCACAGCCAGGCAGCAAGCTCGACCACCTCGCTGACGCGATCATCCAAAGATAATTCATTTTGTTCTTAACTTCACTAGTTACGTACTTTGGCTTCTTGCTGACTGCCTCGTCTCTGCCGTATTGCCATCGCATTCTGAAACATGGGTGGAGCTGAAACACCCTTGATCCTTCTGCCCAACACCCACCGACGTAATAATTCCCCCCGTGCGATCGACAATCCCATCAACGGCGGTCGCTCACCACCGTTCCCCGACTATCTACTTTCGCCGTGTGAAAATCAAGTCCAGTTCGCCATGGTACAAGACAAAGCAATCCCTCGACCGTCTGGTCAAATCTTTCTCCGCATTTCCTGGCGCGAACTTCACATCAAAAGTAGTGACCAGATGTGCTACCGTTGCCCGCAGATTTTGAAGTGCCAATGGCTTGCCAATGCAGTTGTAAGTACCTGAATGCATACATCCACCGTCAGCCAATGCAGAGTCTGATTGCCTCGAATCTAGGCAGAACACATACCGATATTGAATGGAACAAAAGCTGATTGATCGTTGATCAGCTCGGGCTGCTGGTACCACCGCTCAGGGATAAACTCTAGTGGCTTTTTATAGCTCAATTCCGCTGGTCCGTCGTTAGTCTACTGGGGTTTTTTGCCGCTCCGCCCCTCACCGGGGTTGACTTACACCGTCCCATCGCAAGGATTGGATTGATGACTATGGAGTTGCCTGGAATGGACACTCCGTTCACAGTAATGCCCCCAGGAGGCATTATCCGTGGTACTCCCGACGGAACCGC